ATCAATTGGGGAATGATTTGTATTCTTATAAATTTGACTTAATTCTCTACATATTTTAGAAATGAGGCCCTTATCAGAGACATTAGTTGTAAAAATCCTCTCCCAATTTTCTACTTTCCTTCTAATCTTGGTTGCATTGGCTTTGTTTGTGCAAAAACTTTTCAATGTAATCAAAGTTATCCATTTTGCATTTTGTAATGTTCTTTATCTCCTGATTGATCATGAATTCTGTTCTCCATAAATCTGATAGGTTAAACTATTCCTTGCTCTCCCAGTTTGCTTACAGTATCAGCCTTTATATCTAAATCATGAACTCATTTTGAATTTATTTTGGTATATGGTGTGAGATTTTGATCTAAGCCCCAGTTTCTGCCATACTCTTTTTTTTTAATTGTGAGAATCAAATGAGATATTTATTTATTTGTTTGTTTGTTTGTTTGTTTTTAAGTGAGGCAGTCAGGGTTAAGTGACTTGCCCAAGGTCACACAGCTAGCATGTGTCAAGTGTTTGGTCTGAGGCCGGATATGAACTCAGGTCCTCCTGACTTCAGGGCCGGTGCTCTATCCACTGTGCCACCTAGCTGCCCCCTCTGCCATACTCTTTTCCAGTTTTCCTAGTAGTTTTTGTCAAAGAATGAGTTCTTATCCCAGAAGCTAGGGTCTTTGGGTTTATCAAATAATAGATTACTATAGTCATTGACTACTGTGTCTTGCATACTTAACCTATTCCACTGATCCACCATTCTATTTCTTAGCCAGTACCAAGCAGTTTTGATGATCGCTGCTTTATAATACAATTTAAGATCTAGAATGGCTAGGCTACCTTCCCCAGCCTTTCTTTTCATTAGTTCCCTTGATATCCTGGACCTTTTGTTCTTCCAAATGAATCTTGTTGTTATTTTTTCTAACTCTATAAAATAATTTTTTGGTAGTTTGATTGGCATGGCACTGAATAAGTAAAGTCGCTTAGGTAGAATTGTCATTTTTATTATATTAGCTCTGCCTACCCATGAGCAACTGATGTTTTTCCAGTTATTTAGATCTGACTTTATTTGTGTGAAAAGTGTTTTGTAATTGTGTTCATAGAGTTCCTGGGTTTGTTTCAGGAGGTGGACTCCTAAATATTTTAGAATGTCTACAGTAAGTTTAAATGGAATTTCTCTATCTCTTGCTGTTGGGCTTTGTTGGTAATATATAGAAATGCTGATGATTTATGTGGGTTTATTTTATAGCCTGCTACTTTGCTAAAGTTGTTTATTATTTCAAGTAGTTTGTAAAACTGCTTTACAACAAAAATATTTATACTTCAAAAGGCATAAACACAAATATATTAACAGATTCCCCAAAGTGTAGGAAGCATAATTTCCCTCCCCCTTTATACCACTTTCAGTCTCTGGGGAGGGGAAGGGGATTAGATTCATAGTTCAGCTCTGTTCCAAGAGAGCACAGTTCCAGTTTCGATCCAAAACTCCTGCTCTGGCTTAGGTCCCAGGCACCCTGGCTTCTTGGGGCTTCTACAACAGCTCAGATGGCTATACCTCCTCACCTGCAATGCTGACCACAGGATCATCATGGCTCAAACTTGGACTGAGGTAAAAAAGAGATTACCAGGGGAAGGAGAGTCCATGCTGTCTCACTGGTTTAATTCATGGTATCCATACTGGGACCATGAGACAGTAGTCTAAGATAGAGCAGCCAAAAAATGCTCAATTTCACTACTTTTGAAGCAGCAAATCAAAGGAGGCTACCCCCAACCACATGATAGTGGAATTCAGTGGGTTCCATTCAATGTACTGGGGCATGCTCAAAAGTCTCTCAAGGTAGTTACCTGCAGAATTGTGAGACCCACATGTTCATCACCTGATGGTGTATGTCACATTATTAAATGAATAAACTGCAGCTTGCCTGTCTGCTTGTATCTGTGCTGGTTTATTTGGGTGGCAGCGGCAAGTGAGGGCTCTGAAAATTCTTGAATCGGTATGTACTAGAAAAGCCATACGTTAGCTCTACTGAGATATTTGCCCTGTTTTCAATATGCCTAACATGCTTATAAGGGGGCATCTGAAATGTTCCAAGTATGATTTCCCCTTAAGCAAAAATACTCTTCCAAAAAATATACCCTGTAAGGTGACTCCCTCATCCTTCAGCCTACACCAATTAATATTGAATAAGGATTTACAAAGAGAACAATTAAAATCAAGCTCATACTTTACCCAGATAAAATATACATAAAAATACTATTGCAACAGTAAGAAAACCACAAAGATGGAAATAGGTAACTGGGTTTATATCTCAACATAAATAACATGAATATGAGTATCAAATAGACAAACATTTATTAAACTCACAAGCTAATAGGGGAGATAGCATATAAACATCTGTGTGCAAACCAAATATATCCAGGATGATTTTAAAGGGAAGGCAACAAGATTAAGCAGATCTGGGAAAGACTGTTTGCTAAAGGTCAGCCTTCAGCAGAGACTTGAACAAAGCCAGGTAAGACAGGAGGTAGTAACGATGTAGGAGACAATCCTAGGTGTAGGGGAGAGCTAGAGAAAGTAGAATGGGAAGGAAGGCTCCACCAATCTACCTTGGGTTCTATTACCAGTAAAAATTCTATCATGTCTGGACTTTCCTCCATTCTGATCACTGCCACCCTGTCTACCCGTGCTGGACAAAATCTCTGGCTGCCCCAGCTGAGATTGGGTGTATTCAATACAGGCTTGGTGTTGTGGTTTCACTCTTCCCTCTTTTTCCATCTTATACCCCATGCCTGCTGCTAGCAGCACTCTAAAACCCCAAACCCACTCAATTCAAAGACATGTTATATTTTTTTGGGCACAAAGATGGGCAAAAGCTTCAAATTCTAGAATTTGGAGTAGGTAAGTATATACCTACTTACTTGCAAGGCTTCAGACCACTTTCCTTGGCTGGCAGGAGAAAAGAATTTGTCCCAAAAGGCTGTAATACCACAGTGCTGCAGGATGGTTCTTTAGGGAGAACTATCAATTTGAACGAACAAAAAAAGCTCAGAAATCTCCTCATTTCTCACCTGACTACACTAATTTGGGACTTCTTTGACCGACTTCTCCACCCTGATCCCTATCTGAAACATACATACATACATACATACATATATACACACACATATATCTGAAACATACATACATACAAACACATAGACACACAGTTCCCAGGTTAAAAAAAAGAAACCTCTCTGTCCCTATTTCCATGTATATACACATATGTATATATGCATATAAGTCTAGGTCAGGGGTGGGGAATGTGCAGCCTTGAGGCCACATGTGGCCTTCTAGGTCCTTGGGTACAGCCTTTTGACTGAGTCCACATTTTACAGAATAAATCCTTTCATTCAGGGGATTCAGTCAAAGGGCTGCACTTGAGGCCTTAGAGGGCCACATGTGGCCTTGAGGTTGCACATTCCCCACCCGTGGTCTAGGAGCTTTATTTTATGCATGTAAAAACGTTCTAACAAGGAGGCTGTAGGCTTCACCAGACCGCCCAAGGGGTCCATCACACATGCTATCTCTCCCTCATCCTACACATAGTTTGTTTGTATAAATTTTTTTGCTGTTTTCCACCCTATTATACTGTGAGCTCTTAGGTGGTGGGGACTACCATTTGAACCTCAGTTTATCCCTTGAGCTTAGTATTGTGCCTGGCACATAGTAGGCACTTAATAAACGTTTTCTGACTGACTAATTGAAAAGGTTAAGAAAGCCTGATTTAGAATCTGGAAACATGGGCAGGTATTGGAAGATGTGTATAAAAAACTAACCTGATACTGTAAGAATTATCTCATTAATACTAAAGTTCCAAATGATCTGAGATTTGAAAGGAAAGCAAGGGCCAAAAAAAATTTGCTGGTTTTTAAAATTTTTTACTCCTACGTTCATTGATTTATTTATTCATTTTCTGCAATGAAGTAAAGAGAAGGATCAAAGAAGATAGAAAAATAGAATGCTGATTGGTTGGAGTAATAATTTATACAATGCAAAAGTAGAGTATGGTTATTTTGCTTCTATTTTCTCTGCAAAAGAGAATAATGTTTATGGTAATATGATAGGAAAAAAAAGATGAATGGAGACTTTGATACCCAGGAGAAATAAGGAGACAGAAAGGAAACACGCATTTGTTCTTGATAACCTGAAGTTAACTGACCAAGATGAACCATATCCCCAAGTACTGAAAAGATTATATGACATGAGCAGAGTCCTCATTAGAGATGCATCAAAGAGAAGAGAGAACAGGTAGTCTGAAGAAGGGAAGATTGTGCTCATTTCCAAATAGGAAATAGATTAAAGTCTGTAAACTATAGACCTGTGGGTTTAATATCAATTCCTGGGAAATTACTAGAGGATATTCTTTGAGAGATGGTTGCTGAGCCTATAGAATAGGAAATACGTATGACAAAGACCATATGTGTGTGTGTGTATGTGTGTGTGTGTGTGGCGTGTGTGTGGTGTGTGTAACATATGTGTATATAGGGCTGAGAACAGTGCTGAGGAACTACAGAATTTCACAAATGTAAGGGATTATAAATGTCCCTTGTTTAGTCTATAGCATAAGTCCACCATCACTGACCTCATTGAGTGTTTTACTATAACTTACTTTTGAGTGGAATAGTTGTGGCTTAATAAAAGTGGCATGATTTGCTGTTTCAAATTAATAGTCTTTTAGATATTGGTCTCTGAGAGAAGGAGATGATATTATAACAACAACAACATCTAGCATCTATATAACACATCAAGGTTTTCAAAGCATTTTACCAATGTTATCTCTTCATCCTCAAAACCACCCCAGCACATAGATGATTGTTATCCTCATTTTACAGATGAGTAAACTGAGGTAGAATTAGGTTAATTTAATTGCCTAGGGCTATATAGCTACTCAGCTTCTGAGGTATGATTTGAAATCAGGTCTTCTCAACCCCAGGGAGTCTATCCACTGTATCACCTAATTGTATAGTACAGGATTGTATCAGGGCTGGGACTTTATTTTTCCCCAGACAGCCAAGTAGTATTTGGAGACTTGAGAGTCACTGATAATTAGAACAGAAGGGCTGCAAGAAGGAAAACAGGCAGCCAGAAGACAGAGGTATGAATGAGCCAGGAAGGTAGTTTCTTAAAATGAGTAAGCAATGCCAAGATAGAATTCAGTGAGTAAAAGGAGACGAACATGAAGGCCAGCAGCAGGATGGTTTGTGTGGCTCTGTTCTCAGGGCTACCTCCCCATGTAAGATTGTTGCCATAAATGTACTGGACTCTGTGGTGGTGTCTGTAAAGGATAAACACCATATATCCACTGGTCCAGACCATGATTGTCACACATGAAATATCAGGAAGAGAAATTATGAATACATATAGTGCAATATTAGCTGAAGAAGCATAAGATGTAGCAGAACAATAAATTAAATCCTGTATTTCAGTAATGTTTTTGCTTCTCTTTGGCCCTTTAAAATATATAAGAATAAGGAAGTTTAACAGCAAATGAAAAATCCAGCAACAGAAACAGAAGTGAACAATGTACTTTGAGACTCTGACTTTGAGCTCTGACCACCTGGAGCTTCTAGCACTAATGATGATAGCCTGGAAGGTACTAAGGAGGCAGGTGGTAGAAAGAGAAAGTCCCCGGGCCACTTGATGAAGGTAAAACACAAGTTTACATCCCACATCATCAAGGAAATGGTTGAGTCCCAAAGCAGCCATTGTCTGAGGGATCCCTTTTGAAAGAAGCACCAAGTCATTGGCAAAAGCCAGATGGGTAAGAATCAAGTCTATGGGTCTGAGCCTGGAACTAATAAGAAAGGTGATGGTGTAAAGGCCCAGGAAGAAGGAGTTCCCCAGTACTCCAAATCCAGTCTGAGAAAGAAAAAAGAGCCCCAGTGCTATGTCATTAGAAATCATTCTCTTGTAGTTTAAGGGAGCAATAAATAAAAACCAATGAAGGAGAACCAGTGGGACTTGTTGAAAAATTAAAAGGGCAGAAGATATTTCTTGAGATTAAGGAAATATATCCCATCTCCAACAGTCACCATTAATGATATATTCCCATTCAGAAAAACCTTCTGAAAATGTCTTTTTTACAGCTGCTGCCTGATCAACTATTTAGAGGCTATTAATGATAGGAAAATTTCTCATGTCTACTTAGGCCCTTTATTTTTAAAGGGTCCTGCTTTGGTGAAATAGTTAAATTGCATAATCCCAATGACACATTAGACAGTACCAGAGACGGAACGCTTAGTTCTCTGTCAGCCATACAACATTTTGTTATTTTTTTAAAAGCCATTCCCCAGTTAGACAAAACTCATTTATTTTCCGGTTTGGGGATACTATGAAGAGAATTTCTAGAAAGATTTGTGTTATTTCTTTTGGTTCTAGGCCTAATTTTTCTATAGCTGGATCAAAAGGTATAAATACAGGTTATTAATTTGGGGGGGGGGCACCTTCCTGAATTGTTTTCAAGAATGGTTGGACCAGTCTAAAGTTCCACCAACTGCTCATTTGAAGAATAACAATAAGTTGATGTTACAACTCGGAGACTTCACAGTTTCATCATTTCTCATCACAGCTCAGGGCCATGAATAGACTCCCTAAGTGTATAGCCCACAAAGGATATATTTTTTCTTGCTGTTTCTCTCTTTCTCTCTCTGTCTCTCTCTCCCTCTCTCTCTCTCTTCTCTCTTTTTCTCTCTCCCCATTCCCTCCTTTTCATGTAAACTTATTTTACTAATGTCCTTCTTCATAGAAGAATTTGATATATGGTACTTATGAATTTCCCACTTTGTTTTTTCAATATTACCATTGAGAATCTCAACTTTTTGTTCCTTCATATTATTTTTAATATTATTTTTCTGGCTATACAAAGCATCTCTTTAGTAATTTGGTATAGAACATAATAAGTAAAAAATTAAAATGAATTAATATAATCCTTTTTTATGATCTTATCCTATCAATGAGCAATTAATGTTTCTCCCATTATTTTGGACTATTTTTATTTCAGCAAAGAATATTTTAAAGATATATGTATATGTGTGTACATATATATACATATACACACATATGCTTATATATGCATACATGCACATGCATACTATATTATAATAGTATAAAGTGCCTTATATGTAATATGTATATTTACATAAACATAACATATGAGTAAATCTACAAATATGCTCCAAGGAACTATAGATATGCAACTATAAAACACTTTGAAATATATTAATATATAGTGATGATATATAGTATATTTGTTAATGTTTAAATGATTAATATATTTATATATTTAATATTAAATATATTCTACATATAATATATGAATGGATAAATAATATATCTGTATATGAACCTCCTGAAAATATCTGTTTGAGTTCTGCCTGATCAACTATTTAAAGGCTTTTAATGATAGGAAAATTTATATGTACGTGTGTACATATGTGTATGAATAATCTTCTGTACTTATTTTTAATGGAATTTCTCTTCTTAGCTTTTCCCTTATTCCCTTTCTGACTGTTTTTGGCATTGCCACAATGATTAGGCTTCCTTCTTACACTAGAACTTCCCTTAAAATATTGGGCTTTCTCACCTTGGAACATCCCTCCCCAATGACACTCAACTTTTGACATTGGTGAATTCCTTTGGGGTACTCACTTTTGACAAAGGGAAAAGGCTGCAGATGCTTCCTTCCTCAACTGGTTGTGCTTCAGAGTCTAGGGATTTTACCACCATGTTTCTACAATTTGGGATTAAAATGATAACAATAATATTAAACTACTAAAAATAAAATGACAAAGTAACAATAAAAATGAGTAAGCAAAGGAAAAAGAACCCAACCATTGATACCTACTTTGGTGTAAAACATGATCTGGGTTTATATTCAGAAGAAGGTAGTGAGGTTAAAAAAAAAGCCACTCCCGCCCTAAAGAGTAACACCAAATGGGTATAAGCCCAAAAAGAAATCTTGGAAGAATTCAAAAAGGAATAGAAAAATCAAATAAAAGAGAGTGAGTAAAAATTAGAAAAAAAATAAAAGCAGTTCAAGAAAATAATGAAAAGAAAGTTAACCAACTTCTCACTATTGTTTTCTGAATTCTGTCCATGGGCTCAAACTCAGGGATCTTCTCTTCCTCCCCTCAGTCCCCAAAATGTTCTTTCTCCCTGTGGTAGGACACTCACCAGGCTTGGGCACATTCCTCTTCACCCTCAGCCACAGCCAGGTATCACATCTGATCACCACACGGCAGGGAGTTCTTCAGTCTTCCCTCATTCAAATAACTTCTCAGATAAAAGTTTGTGAGGTAAAAGTTCCTGAAATGAACATTCCTGTGGGGAAATTTCTTGAGGAGTAGTCTGCTTCTCTCAGGGCACAGTTTGTTGATTTAGTTAAGTTGCCCTAAAGGTGTTTATACTTTACTCAGACAAAACCTCAGACCCTGGAGTCTTCTCTGAGCCCCTCTCAAGATATTGTAGGACAACTGCTTTACCCCCTTTATTTTTGCTGCTCTCTGTTCATTTCATGGCAATTTTCTCTCTGTTTGTGAAGGAAATCTAGAGTCTAGAAATTTCTAACCTACTGCGCCATCTTCCCAAAATGCACCTCTAACTTGTTTTTGTTCTTAGTGTGTTTCAGCACTAATTGGAAACTTCAAGAAGACTATAGGGCTGTATGTGGGCCTGATGGGTGAGTAAACTACTATAGTAGAAAGAGAGAGAGAGTGAGAGAGAGACAGAGACACAGAGAGAGAGAGGCAGAGAGAGAGGAAGACAGAGAGAGACATACACACACAGACAGAAAGAAGAGTTTGTATGCAGTCGAATTTCTGGGATGTCTTATCTGTCTAATTAGTTTTTTTTTTCTTTCTCTCCTTTAAAGGGTGATCATTCATGTCTTGCTTTCTATGCATAAGTATTCCTCAGTGTCCTTTCTAGGCTTTCTTTTCTTCCCCATGTTTTCTTGGTGATCCCATCACTGTTTATTGATCGAACCATCATTTCTATGCTGATGACTTCTAGATCTAAGTATTCATCACTTCTCTTCTGAAATTAATTTTCCCTACACTAATTATCTAGTTGATGCAATCTCAACTTTGATATCCCATAATCATGTCAAATTCAGTATGTCTAGGATAGAAAATATTGTTTTCCCTCCATTTCTACCACAACTCCCAACTTCTCCAACTTGGTAAATGTTCTCACTATTCTTCTAATCACCAAGATTTGTAGTATTAATATCTTTTTCATTACATCAAATTCACTCATTATCCATATTTAAACAGTGGCTATCTCTTCTCCATCCTATCTTTAAAATCATTTAATCATTCTCTTCTTTATATTTATAACACAACCCACCCAAGTTCAAATCCTCTATATTGTCCAATGGTTGTAATAGCCACACAATGGATATGAACAGTCAGTTTTCAAGAGGAAGAAATCTAAATGAACATATGGGGAAAATTGCAAATAACCAATAATTATAGAAAATTAAAATAACCCTAAGTTCCTAGCTTAAAGTCAAAGAAAAAATGACCAAAAATGAGGAAAAGATCACCTGTTGTAGAACCTATGGGAAAACAGGCAGATTAATACATTACTGGTTGAGTTATGAATTCTTCCAGCCATTCTGAGAAATAATATAAAACTATGCCCTGAAATCACTAAACTCAATCTCTAAACTTCCTCTCTGCTCCCACTATAGAGAAGCCTCTATCATGAGACCCATATTCCTCTGGTATATTTACAATCAGAACTCTTATTTTACAATTTAGAACTGAATATAGAGCAGAAAAAATAGAGGGGTAAAGCAGTTGTCCTCCTAAGATAACCTGAGATGACTTCAGAAATTACAGGGCCTCCAGGGCTTGAGGTTTGGCCTGAGTGAAGTGTAAACACCTACAGGCTGACTCCACTGAGTCAACAAGCAGTATACCCTGGTGACAGCTCCACTGGTTAGCTGACTAGATCTTAGGAAATTTCACCTCAGCTTTCACCTCATTCATGGCCTCAAGAAATTCCGCATCACAAACTGTCACCTCACAGCTTCAGGAACTTTCATCTAACAAACTTTCATCTAAGGAACAGCAGACAGCTGAGTGGGGGGAAATAGCAGGACAACTCCCATCCCACTGTTTCTAGAAACCAGGCATAGTGTGTTGACCAGAAGTGATCCTAGGCTATGGCAGTAGGCAAGAGAAGTAAGTGCATGCCTGATGAGTGGGGTACTGCAGGGAGCAAGAACTTTTTTGGGACAGCATGGCTGGGGGTCCTACCTATGGCTTAGGGGAGGAGGAAAGAATTCCGAAAATGACAGTAAGGAGGACATGAGGCCTAGGGCAACATTATTCACAACTTGAGATTAAAACCTGATAATAATAAGCTGCTAAAAATAAAAATAAGTAAGCAAAGGAAAAAGAACCTGACAATAGATAGCTACTTTGGTACAAAAGAAAGTCTGGATTCAAATTCAGAAGAAGATAGTTAGGTTAAAAAAAAAGTCATTCCTACACCAAAGGGTAACATAAATGGCTACAAGCCCCAAAAGAGTTCTTGGAAGAACTTAAAAATAAATTTAAAAATCAAGTAAGAGAAATTGAGGAAAAGTTAGGGAAAAAAATAAAAACAATCCAAAAAAATTATGAAAAGTAAGTTAACCAATTTGAAAAATAAGTAGGGAATCTTAAGGAAGAGAATAACTCCTTGAAAACTAGAACTGAGCAAGTGAAGTAGAATAACATTATAAGACATCAAGATATAATAAAATGAGGCAGCTAGGTGGTGCAGTAGAGAGAACACTGGCCCTGGAGTCAGGAGGACCTGAGTTCAAATCTGGCCTCAGCCACATAACACTTACTAGCTGTGTGACCCTGGGCAAGTCACTTACCCCATTGCCTAACCAAAAAGAAAAAAGAAAA